GGGGGGAGTTGCTGTTTCAATTGTGGAAGAGATAGGTTTCTCTTTTTAGTGAAAGTGACATATATATAGCTAGACTGAGAACCCTGGTCAAAAGTTGCTTTTGCCTTAACGTTTCTAAAGGCCTGAGGCCTCTGAGAGGCCATTTTCTCCTCTCATTCCCTCGACCCTTACTGTTCATATACTCCCAAATCTGAGGTCTTATTTATCCAACTATGGTTTCTTATTGTTGTCTTCTTCTCTGAAATAATATTGCTTGTCGATCTTGGACTCGGCCACGTGTAACTTCAGCAATTAGGGTGACTCCGAGTCAGAGACAGATTTAGGTCGAGTTCTGTGAATTCAACTAAACAAATTGCTTTCGACTCAAAATATATATATAGTAAAAACACAACTATTGTGAACTTGCTAATTTAAAATTCTGGATTCATCTCTGATTTAAGTTTTGCAGTAAGAAAGGGGAAAAAGAGGCAGAAAACCCCATATTTTTTCCTCTTTGGAGTTGACGCTAAAGAGAGAAAGCTAACATGCAAGATCTTAACAAACAACAACATACTCAGTGTAATCCCCTTATAAGTGGGGTATTGGGAGGGTAGAACGTACACAGACCTTAACAACATACTCAGTGTAATCCCATAAATGGTATCTGGGAAGGGTTAGAACGTACGCAGACCTTACCCTTGCCTTTAATCCCACTTGCTTTTTGGAGAGGAAGAAGTGGTGGTTGAAGAGTTGAGCTAAGGAGGGAAAAGAGAAGGGTTTTTTGTCAAATATCTGTCAAGTTGCTATCACGTGAACTGAAGGGGCACAATTAGAGAATGCTATATCCCTTCACTTCCCATAAAATCAGTTGTAAACTACAACAAGTACTAAGAGTGAGTGTCCCCTCCATTTTCTTTCTTTCCCCCAAATTCCTTTTCATACTTTTAAAGCTTAATAATTCAACAGCTAGCTAGAGAAAGAAACCTTTCTTCTTCTTTAGAGGACAATATTACAGCTCTCTTTGTCTCTACAGGTAACAAACCATTGCCTGTCTTTCTCAATCTCCAGTATTTCCAGCTATCTTATAATGCATAGAGTAATCCCACAAAACACATTATAGCCACTAGCTACATATATTTATTCTGTCATTCTCAACCAAAAAGCTATGTTATCATCAACATATTGAAAATCCACATATAGTTATCCTTCCCTCTTTCTCAATCTCTTTCTTGATTATGCACTTAGGCAAAATCCTAGCTTAACCTAAGAGATTAATGATTATTTGTCTGTCTCAAGAGTATTAATTAACCTTGTTTTGCTTCTTGCTGCAGCTAGCTTAATAAATTGACAAACTCAGAAGATGTTGTGGTTCTTTCAACTTCAACAAAAAAGCTAAGAGTAGTACTACTTGTGCTTGTATATCCGTCCTTCTCAAAGCTCTAGTCCCACTTCAATGTATCCGTCAAGCAACAGCTGTAATTACAGCCTCAATATTTCCTCCTCAAATAACTTATTCCACATTCCATCTCCTAATTCTATGCAATATGAACACGAACTTTTCCAATATTTTCATGACCATCATCTCCTTCAACCCCAACAACAACTACTCTTGACTACACCTGATCATTACATGGCAGCAGATTCCAACAAAGATACCGTAATCAGTAGTACTAATCAAGATCCTGAAGAAGTTGAATTACAAGGCAGCTGCAACAACAAAAAAGGTGACAATAAGAGAGTTGCTGCAGCTTACAAGAAAGATAGACACAGCAAGATTAATACTGCTCGCGGCCCTAGAGATCGAAGAATGAGACTTTCTCTCGATGTTGCTCGCAAATTTTTCAATTTGCAAGACTTGCTTGGATTTGATAAGGCCAGCAAAACTGTAGAGTGGTTACTAACAAAGTCCAAATCTGCTGTCAATGAGCTCGTCCAAGGCATAAATAAAGAAAATTGCAGTACTGCTAATATTGGTGCAATTAGTACATCCTCTACTACATCTGAGTGTGAAGTTGTATCAGGATTTGATGAATCTACAACCACTAATGATATTCAGAAGCAGCCAAATAGAGGTAAAGTAGGGGAGAAGAAGAAGGCTAATAAACTAGTTCGTAGAGCTGCATTTAATCCAGTGGCAAAGGAATCAAGGAAACAAGCTAGAGCGAGGGCAAGGGAGAGAACAAAAATAAAGAAAAGCTTCTTAAATATTGGTGATCAGTCTATGGCGGCTGATGAATTAAAACGATTAGGATGTTGGAGTCCTTTTGAAACAGGTGAAGAATCAGGTATTCAAGGTACTAATCATCAAGTTGAAGAACACATTACGCACAACGAGGAGCATATTTTAGGGACTAAAGAGAATGTTGATGACTGTAATTTGGTTGTTACTGGCAACTGGAACCCATATACCATCTTCAATTATCACCACAATACTGAAATTTCTCACGAGGTAGGTTTTACTCTTTGTATAAATCCAAGATTTAATCTTTAAGAGTTCAAGATTTTGATAAAAAGGGCAGTTCGGTGCAAAAAAATTCCGGTTTACACTATTTATATATATATGGTGTAAAAAAATTGTGGGTTCAATCGAACTATTGCTTGATTATTACATCAACCGATGAGTATAACCACATAAGAAGAGAATTTGGATGACTTCCAGTTAAGCTTTAGAGATTCATGAGTTCTAAGCCAAATTCTTTTAGTACTTGGTTTTAAATATTCTCGTCAGCTTTATTTAATGATTTATTCCTTCATTTTCGTTATATTTTTTCTTCCTGCAGCAACAATTTACAAACTTCCAGTTTTCTGGGAAGTTTTGGGAAGCTTAGGAGAAGGAAATTCAATGCGCCACCTGTTGTTGATTTAGTGCAACTCAACCAGAAGAAGACTATTTGGTTCCATTGGTAATGTAAAATAAATTTGTCTATTTCATTTTGCGTATTCTATGAATAACTTGTTTGTAAATAGATTGATCCTTTTTTTTTCTCTTCCTTTAGTCATTCCAAAAATGTAATCAAAATTAATTTTGAATTTTAATGGGGAACATGAACCTTAACTTGTTTGGTATTGATGTATAGTTAATTAGTTATGTTGATAATTAATCAAACCTCCTAAAAACAACAAAAAGAAAATAGTCCCTCTTATGTATACTAATCACTAGAGATGGGATAACCGGCACTTGAAAAGTTCCATTCTTTGATCATTTAATTACCTGCTTAATCAATTTTACAAAATCTCCCGGTTTTTCTTTTTCAAATTTAATCATAAAATTTGATCCGATTGAGTTTATATCAAGATAATGTTTATCTAAATATTATGTGAACAAACTTTTTATGACGAAGTAGCAAAATCACATAAAAGATACTCCATGCATTTTGGTGTTTTTTATATATCTTATAGATTCTATTTACATATAGAGAAAATATATATTTCAGTTTTCTGCTATTATAGTACTTAAGATTCAACAATTTAACTGCTCTACCTGTAGCATCTTCCTATATATTTTGAGATTGACAGTACTCGATATATCATCAACCAGAATTATATATGTATGTTATTATTCGAGAACATGGAAAACCGTCAACATCTGGGTCCATGTCACTCTTATAATTGAATTCAGTCCTTTATATATGTTATTTTGAATTTATGATTAATGCACACTACCTAGTTTACATGATTCTCTACTCTTATTTGCTTTTTCGTTTTGAAGCTGTAAACAACTTGCAACTTCTTCTAATAAGTTAACCATGTATTTAGTGTAATATTGGAAGAATGAAGTTGAGGTGAGACTAGATGGGACAAGCCTAAATGCAAAGATTTCAAATATTTAGGCTTGTTGGGAGCGTGATAGATGAAGATGTTACGCATAAAATTAAAGTAGCTATGATGATTGAAAACGAAAAGTGTCACTAGAGTGTTATGTGACAAAAGAATATATATATATACCTCCCAAAGTAAAAGACAAGTTTTATTGAACAGATGTAATTAAGACTAATATTGTACGAGAGTGAATGTTTTGGCCTCGAAAATCTAACATATCTAAAGATCAATTTCGTAATTTTTATTATATATGGCCTGATCAGATATGCTTAAATGGAGCAACATGAACAGTAAATTCATATAGCCGACCCACCTTGCTTTGTATTAAGGAATTGTTGTTATCATATTTAGTTATAGGCATAAAGTAAAGTCTACAACACTAAGATTAACTTAATTGGTTGGTATGTAATTAAAATCCCACATTGGTAAAATTAGTTTAAAAAATTATACATATAAGTTGTAGTGATACTCTTAATGATGTGAGGATTTTTGAAGAAAAAAAAAGTATAGGCTTGGCATGGAGTAGACAATATCACACTATATTAACAGTATCTTTAGGCTGACTTAGCCTAGCAACTAGTATCAGAACCGATAATTCGACACAATGAGTATGTTGACGACAGAATGGTGAAGTTATTTCTTTACTATTTTTACCATGCCAAAGGTAGCTTGGATACCCATGCACACAAGAAAAAGCTAGCTTTGGCTTCGGTGGCCATAAATGCTCGATCATGTGGGTGGTACACAGAAACTCTAAATCATCATTTGTGACCTCAATCCCTCCTTAATTGTTTGTTATCTTTGTATGGAAATTCATAAGAAATAAGATGACAGTAATAATAGTAGTGCTTAATTAGTTTCTCTATGATTTATCATCGTTGCCAGCATTATTAATTACTATAATTCTATTATATCCATTTATCTATTTAAAGTGTAGCCAGGCAAGATGAGTGGCCAAGAGAGTCTCTCTATTAATTAGTTGTGAGCTTTCACAATTGGTATTATGTTCTATTCGACCATAACGAGACAAAATTAAATGAACTCTTCATTTACGTCTCAAAAGTCAAAGAAGAGGATAATGTTGTAATATTATGGATGATTTACTAGGTTACATTCATAGTATTTGATCCTACTAATAATAAGTCATATCTAAGGGACACTAATTAATGTCCTACGAGAATGGAAGTATAGTGGCTTTTCCACTATTCCTAGACGCCATTTTCACTTTTCAGGTAGGAAACAAATATTAAGATATGCCGTTTACTTCAATTAAGATATATATTCTATCATTGCATAATTTAGATTTCACATAAAAGATGGATTTCTAAGTTATATGAACTCAAATCCATTGTTCAATGACTTTAAAATGAGAGAGACGAGTCAATTTATATATATATATATATATATATATATATATATATATATATATATATATATATATATATATATATATATATATATATATATATATATGTATATATACGCTNTAGAAATGTTTCCGCAAATGGCTTGCCTGACAAGGGTGTCAGGAGCCCTCATGACCTATTGTGAAAATGGGTCGTGACAGATGCATTATGGTTAAGTCAAGTGGCAAGCTAATATAAAGCCACTTGGCAAGTTATGACAATATTTATTATAGTATTTAATTTAAATTGAAAGGCGGGATATTTATTTTAATTTAAATAAAAAGATAGTAAATATGATTCTTTTGAATCTAAATGGAAAGAAAGTTAAATTTGAATTGATTGATTAATTAATTAGGAAAGCTAATCAACACATAAATGTTCTAATTCAAACGAGAGGCTCAGCGAGTGAGGGGAATTGTTCTAAATAATGAGAAAGAGTTTTTTGAAATTTGAGTTCACAACAAAACAACAGAAAAACAAAACGTGATTGTTACTAGAAATAAACTAAAAAAATAGGTTCGAACCCATAATCATAATTACCGCGTTATTGGATCGAAACTTAACTTTCGTAACTACCTGAGGGATAATGTTTAACTATGAATCGACTTAGACATTGGCTAAACAAATGTCAATTGTGTTGCCTTACGATAAAATTAATTATCCAATATTTTATAATTTATTTTATATCTCAATTGTTTGGAAGACATATATTTTTTAAATTTTTTATTTTTCTATTTAGCGCTAGCAATTGTTATGCTAAAATAGATAAGAAGGGAGGATAGATTCTTTTCTAATGGCTCATGTATGGACAATGACCTTTTAGCGCGTTGTTGATATTTATGTTCTCTCAAATTGTATGAGCCAACTGATCGAGCAACCGACGGGGTCAAATATATATATATATATATATATATATATATATATATATATATATATATATATAAAATTAAACAGAACCTAATTTCTCATGGCAGACATTGTTCCTCAATGATCGGTACTGGATTAATAAGCAAAGAGAAGAGCACTCACAAAAGGATAAATAGGTTGAAAGAAAGGTGTTAAAAAGGTATTGTTTAGGTTAAATGAACCGAAAAAAAAAATGCACAAAAGTGGGGAACATAGGAATAAACCATATCCAAAATGATTATCTTATTTCTCGATGGCAAGACTCTCTAAACTAATTAGCTATTGATAAGCGCCTTTACAAGAAAAAAAATTATATCTCCAATATAGGATATATATATGTCTTCGCTAGAAATTAAAACGGGAAAAGAAAATTATACATTTAAAATACGGGGTGTCACAGCTTTTCTTAATTTTCTTTTCTTTTGTTTCATGGTTTTACATTTTTGCTTTGTGTTAGGAGTATTCGAATTTTCAGAAACAGTCCATTCATCATGTATTTTAGTCGCATGCAATCCAAAATGCGTTAATTTAGTTAGGCCCCGTCAGTGAGTTAGTCATTCGTTGTCCGGAAAGAAGCTATGTTGGCCCAAGGGTAGTCAACTGAACGCCCTTCGCCGAATATTATACTACATATAAGATAAAATATTATTTGTTATTGAATTTTCTTTCTTCGTCACTATCCGTTGTTATATGTTCTTTTCCTTTATTCTTTACAACTGACGACAAATACTACTTAAAAGTCTTTACATGTTAATATATACTTACTCCAATCCAAATAAATGACGAGAGTTGCACACATGATACCTGAAAAGAAATCCACCTTTTCGTCCATGGGACCAAAGACTTGAACAACAATATATAGTCTCCAAAGAAAAATTTTTGCCACGCTCGATATCTTTAGCTGAATGGGGATCGGAGGACTCGTCATTATATTCCAACTTGAGAATTATGTGTCTAAATAATGAATTTAATTCTCTGCTAGTTAAATTAGGTAGTAGTAGTGGATGTTAAATAGCGCAACAGAAAGGAGAAGAAAGAAGACAGACGTCAAAAAGTATTGAAAAATAATTTGGGAAATGAGTAATTAATGATAAGGGTAAATAAAAAATTATCTTTCTCTTAATTTGCTAAAATAGACGAGTAAAAGTGAACATATATTTTTAATATATAGTAGATAAGTAAAAGTAAACAAAGAAAGTAGTAATAATTATAGCAGTAATAGTTGACTTGGAAGAAGCGAGCAAATGAACTTTACAGTCATAAAAGGGATTCTAAGTTTCAATTTTCAATCTTTCTTTTTTTCATTTCTCGTCCAGTGTGACCAGTATTCACGTTAAGATCTCGATTAATTCGAGTTCAGTTTACGTAAAACCCACTAAAGAAAAAGCACTTTCTACCAAATTCTTTTTGTTCATCTCTTTCATTGCTTAGGCAGTGGCGGATCCAGGATTTTAAAGTTATGGATGCTCGCCGATAAAAATTTCAAAAGAAGAGAAAAAATAAATTTACTTGTGGGTGCTCGCTCAATATTTATCTAAATATTTGTACAGTTGCCTATATAAATTTATTAATATGATCAAAGTTAATGGGTGCTTAAGCACCCACAACTCCCTATGTGCATCAGGACAGCGGTGCTACTCCCCTGTGCCACAACATATATACAGGGGCGACTCTAAGGCTTTGGATAGTGAAGTCGTTGCTTTAGACCCCCAAAATTTGAATGCCACAAATTTATTTTAAATTCTTCTTATTATTATTACTATATACTATATAATTTATTTAAATAATTAGTATAAGAAAAGTGTTACAATATATTTTTTTTTGTTACTTTGAGGTTATTTTACAACAACAACAACAAACCCAGTATGCTCCCAACAGGTGGGGTCTGGGGAGGGTAGTTTGTAC